CCTGTTTTATGCTATCTGTTATAAAACGTACAAAACTTCATTCGTGCCTTTTATTGATCTTGCACGACCACCTTTGTTTTAAAAATAAAATGTTCTAAATAGGTTTCATTAAACAATAATTTGATGCAGGCGTTTTTAAGCATATACAGGAGAACCTCGATTTAGGATAGTAATAAACAATTACCTCTAAACATGCGAAATGACAAATTTGCCAGGGAACAAACTGATCTAACCCAGATGCGGGTCATCCGGGTTAAAATGCAATATACATTGGTGTATGCGTTACTGACAGGCTAATATGGTTTCGTCACGTCGTTTACATCATCAACAAGGTGAAAGTTATCTTCTAACTTCACCATTTGCACTGTCGATTTAAAGGTGCTGCATAAACCTAGTTGTCACTTATGCCTCTTCAGTATATTTTGGAAGGGGGTAATTTTGCACCCCTGCGGCGACATATTAGAGCATTCGCGAGATCTAGAGGATTGCAATACGATTTCGCGGTGAAGATCTTTGTACAATTTATTTGAGACCTGCTTTTTCACTGAAGATACTGCAACATATCGCCCACCCGCTTCAAGTAGGTGTAACAATCTGCTACTGTGAGAGTTCCGCTACAAGACGAAATTAAATCATCCTGAAACAAGAACTGGCTGTACAGAAAATCAATGGTACCGCACTTAATGCATGTTGTCCTCATGAATCCTCTTACCTTAAAGTGTCGTCTAGCTTTCTATGTTTATTACGTAATAATTTTCGTGCCGATGTACGCAGTATATATACGGATGCTGAAAGCAGAAAAGCATCTTCCTAGCATAAATACTGAGTTAGTGCTATATCCAGTAGTAAGTGCCATATCCAGTCAATACGCCATCTACTGAAAAAAATGGAAGTGTCTCATGAGAACAAAATATATCACCTGTAAAGTTAAGGCAACGTTACTGATCTGTAACCAATTATGCCCTTTGGACAGGTGTCCGCAATACATGCAAATGAGTCCATCAATGTCATAGTCATCCATTCGCGTTATTCTTATCTTGTAAACAATTATCGTCCAGCATTAGGTTTTACAAATGTAACGACAAAATTAAAACAGATTTTATTGCAAACAGCGACGTAGAAGTCGGTAGTATCACCGA